ATGTGAAATGGGAAATACAACATAGTTTTTGTTGCTTTTTCATTATACTTTGCCAGTTAAAAATTTGTGTCTGCAGGAAAGGGGCCTCTGAATTAGGAATGCAACTGTCTGATTTGGTTGGATAATCCAGATGTTCTTCATGTATAGAGTGATATCTTGATACTCTGATTAACTCCCAGTATTTCCACGATACCAGGTAACACAAGCTTTCAGCGTATGCTGAATATCCATATACATCTACAATTTCTTATCTGTGGCCCTGAGAGCCTGATGTATGTTAGAAATCAGAATTATGCATATTTTATGAGGATAGTACATGCCTTTGCCGTATGTCACGGAACACACCTCATCAAGTGGGGACAGCACTCAGTAATCAAACACATTAGTATTCCTGCAGAAAAATGTATGACTATCCCTCCAAATGGGGTATATGAAGACAACAAGTGCTGTCATTGTTCATTGAAACTATATTTTTATAGTAATATAGTAATAATAAATGAAACTGTATGATAATAGAGTCTCAATACTCTGAATAATTTTATTTCTAAGAAGAACATCGGATACAGCCAAGTCAAAATAAATCAGTTATCTGTATGTGTCCCTGTAATGTATGTTCATGATCTCTGGATGCTTGATTACCTTTCATGAAGAGGGTACTCTAGGGCCACCATAGGGCTCTCATCAGGTGGTAGTTAGCCATGTGATCAAGGCTAGGGGATAAGAGTCTCCAGAGATGAATGGTATGGTGAAAGACAAGCCTCTAAAAGACATCGTTCATTGTCATCTGTCTTGTTAAACTACCATCATCTCTGGTTCCCGAGGCCAGCAATCAACAGGTCACATTTCAACCGTATGTAGGTCAGGGGTTGGCAAGCACATTCCATATAGGGCCACATGGTAAGTATTGTCGGCTTTCAGGATCCCATTTGCTAGCAGTGGAAAAGTAGCCATAGACGGTATATGAAGGGATAGACGTGACTGTGTCCAGTAACACCTTATTTACAAGAATAGGCAGTGGGCTATGTTTAGCTCACAAGTCATACTTTGCCAAAACTTGTTCTGTGGGATTTTTTTTTTCACTCTTGTTGAGAAGTTTATGATCATTAACACCACTATTATCCTTGTGCTTATTAGTGTAGCAAACAGTTGTAGAAAATGTTTATTTGCAAAATTCCTTGCTCAAAAGGCCATAGCATAGATTTCACATTAAAGAGCAAATAAGTACCTAAAGCAACTGTCCCATCCAGAGCAGGCCCGAAGGTGGCCTAACTAAAACTAAGGCAAGGCGAATCAAGTTGGTTGGCAAATTTATTTACCTAAGGCGTTGCATTTCATAGGAACTATGTGAGCAGGAACACCAGAAACTCTATTATTTCATGGTTTGCACCTAGGCCAGCATATTTCTTACTGGTATGCTGGTCCTTGGATTACTTAGAAAATACTCTCTGGAAAGTCCTTCTTCACATGATGATGAGACAAGAACTTGAGTCCACATAGCAATCATCTTGGCTGTTGGTTTTTGTAATCAGTGAGTGCTCTATCCTGCCTTTGCCTGAGGCATTGACACACCTAGGGACCAGCAGGCTGAGCTTGAAGACCTCTCTCCCATCGTTTTTGAGGGTTTCCCTAGGGTTGTAGGTTGGCGGGAAGCTGGGGCGGTTTCATCATATTGTACATGTATTGAGGACTAAAGCTCTTATCAGCTCTTGTTTTGTGTTGAGACCCAGGAAATAGATTATGGGACAAAGCGAGTTTTGGTGGTGACGGTGGGAGTTCTTAGGATCCACACTTGTAAGGAAGATGAGGCAGAGGGAGAAGTTGGGTTGTCATGCCCTCACGACAGAGACCTCAGCCTGTTTCGGAGGGAGCTCTGGAGCTGGTATGGCCCTCAGAGTTGTCTCACTTTGAAGAAAGGAGGGTGCACATTTGGGCCCAGCCACATCGAAGGTGGGGGAATGGCATCACCTTGGGGAAGGTCCCTGCTCTCTCTGGCTGAGAGCGGTTCCCAAAGAGACACTTAGCTGAGAGCCATTCGTTCCCAACACGACGAGCAGCTGGCAGGGAAGGTGACCTCTGCCTTCACTTGGTGTCAGGATGCTTGCTGTGGCATCCCCACGGTCTTCTCCTTGCAGAGTCCTCAACACCATATCCCACTCCTTCGTGTTCAGAAGATGGTTTTCACTGTTTCACTGTGGGTTTCCATTAGCTTCTTAAACCCCTTCAGTCGGTCCTCTGAGTATTCACACTTGGCTTGTGTGTGTAGAATACGACTATATTCTACTTGGCCACCATCGCTGGTGAGAGACGCTTCCTCTCCTTCCCCTCACTGCTACTCGTGAGGTGTCTTGAACTCTTCTGGACGGTTTCCCAGTGTAATTAAGCCTGGTGTCACAATAAAGCAGCTTCATCCCAGCCGGTAGCAGAGGCTGGTAGGTTAACATAACAATCGGATACCGCCAGTCTCTTCAGGTTGGGTTTTGCTGCCACGTACAACTTGGAGTTCTCAAACATTTGCTAATTTCCAGGGCTTTTTACATCTCGAAATCAAGGACAGGGGTTGGTGGATGCCGACTACATCCTTAGACCCCTGTTGTGGTTTGCAGTCTTAGACAACTGAATGGAGAGGGGCTGGAGAGTGATGGACCGATGACCGAGTACATGACAGTTACGATGGTGATAGATAAACAGAGACAGGAAGGGGTAATGAAGCATGCTTATGATTTGTGAATTCACCAACTCATCAGCGTGCGGGTTCCTGATAATAAAGCAGATGTCACCTCTTGGTCTTCAGTGTTTTGTTCTGTGACTATAACTTGGATTGTAAGTTATGTCTAAATAGACGTATTTTTGTGTAACTTACCCTAACAACAGTGGGACCGTCATTGATGCATACCTTGTTGCTGCGTGTGATTGTTGGTAGAAACTGGACGTGACCCCTCGCTCCCCTCCCAGCTTCTTTTCCTACCTCTGTGATCACACCCACTTTAGTGATTATTGGACCAGTGGTCATGCAGTTTCCAAACCTTGACTTGATGGCTTTGGGGACCAGCACACTCTTTGTGGTGGAAGGCTGGGTGGGTGATTCTCTCTGTTGAGGGGCTGTCTGGTGCATCATACGATATTTAACAGCATCTCTGGTCCCTATCCACTGGATGCCAGTAGTACCTACCCAATCGTGAGAACCAACAATGTCTATAGACATTGCCTAATGACCCCCGTGGGGCGGAATCACCACTGGGTGAGAACGATTCCACTACTGTTTTGAAAACTGTCCTTTGAGCCTGGGCCTTTAGATTTTCCTGTGCTGTTCCCCTTCTGCAGGTGGGGTTTCTTGCAGTAATACCGCTGTGATAGGCATTGTGACTTAATCTCCTTCTATCTGTTTCATCTTCTTCTTTCTTTCTTCTTCTTCATCACTCCCCAGGGGTAGTAAGCACAAAGTATCTAACATGGGTCAAAGGGTTTCCATGCTGTTACCTCAAAATCTATTTTCTGTAAATAAAAGGAGTGGGCAAGAGAAAGGAAAATGGTGATTTGGATCTCTCCTGCCTCGCAAGGGGGAGTCACCCGGATGTTCAAATCCACGTCCATACGATCTTAGTCTTGCTGAACAATGTCATGGTGAGTGGGCTGAAGAGATGACCCTACCCGTTGGCTCTGTCATCCCAGCAGTGGGAGGTTAAGGATCAGTGTTGACAGCACAGCATTCCGTTTCAACGAGAATCCGCCATGAAATGCCATGCTGGAAGATTGATTACGGTTTCAAATGCCATCTCTGGGGTGAGGAGGGGGGAGAATAACATTTCTGGGACACTGATTGAACCTGAGAAATTGTTGTTGGAAGCTTAACTTCCATAAAGCATGATCGGTATTTACAAAAATCCACAGAATAGTAATTTTTTCCAGTGTGCTATTCTCTTGTGAATATGACTTAACGGGTGGGATTATACTTCACGTTTTAAAGCTTGAACAATGGATTTATAGTTGTTTCAAGGCATATGCTAAATGCCAACGAACTAAAAATACATAGACTTGGGTAGATTCAAGTCCGCCTTCACGGGCAGGACTCGAGAGCACGGTCGAAGAACTCTCTGTGGAGAGTCGGACAGTAAATATTTTCAGCTGTGCAGCCAGACACGCTCTTGTGCAGCTGGTGAACTCCGACGTGACCGCGTGGAAGCAGCCACTGAGGGATCCCTGGGTGGTGCAGCGGTTAGCGGTTTGGCGCCTGCCTTTGTCCCAGGGCGCGATCCTGGAGACCCCGGATCGAATCCCACATCGGGCTCCCGGCATGGAGCCTGCTTTTCCCTCTGCCTGTGTCTCTGCCTCTCTCTCTCTCTCTCTCTCTCTCTCTCTCTGACTATCATAAATAAATAAAAATTAAAAAAAAATTTTTAAAAAAAGCAGCCACTGATGATAAAGCCACCGAGTGGGGTGGTCGTGTTCTAGCACACCGTCTTTGTGGACACTGAAATATGGATTTCATCCACCCCTCACACGCCACAAAGTTTGCTTTTTTCAACCATTTAAAAATGTGAAAAACGTTCTCCCTTGGTTATAAAAACAGAGAAGGGATGGTCCCGCGAGTGAGCGTTTGCAAGCCCAGCTCTGTTCAGAAGATACTTGCTGAGAGCTGCTGCGGTGAACAAGTGGCCCCTGAGCTCTTGATCCTTAGAGCCTGTGGGAAGGACACATAGCAAATAAGAAGAAACCACCTACATGCGTCATTATGCACCTAGAGATGAAGGCTCCCAAGGGGAACCAGGTGCTGTGGCACTTAGCCATGGGGGGATACATTTGTTTGGTGTTTGTAATCAGGAGGGCTTCTCGGAGGTGGTGGCTAGTCAGCCGAGGCCTGGAGGCAAGTGGGGGTTAGGCGGAGAGTGGAACGAGCCGTGCGGGAAGGGACATCCTCCAGGAAGAAGGGGCTTGTTGCACGGAAGCATTTCAGCGTGTGCCCTTGCAGCGTCTGATTCTTCTTCCTTTGAATGAACTCACAGGCTGAGCCCGGGGCCCCTCGATTGCGTCTGCTGAGAACCTCTCCCGCCACTGTGCCCGCACGCGGTGGCCTCGGGACGCGACGATCTTTGAGGACAACCGCCCGACGAGCTTGAGTCGGTACCAGTGTGAGTAGAGCAAGTACCCGCGAGGTCCCTTCACTGTGTTACCACTGCCTGTGGCCCCGGTGCTCGCCTCCCCGTGACCATTGCTTGAGTCACATGTGAGTACCTGAGAGCTCTAGGGTGGCGTCGTGGAGGATCTGGCGTGGTGGGGACAACGGGAACGTGGAGCCCGTCCGTCCCTTTTGTTCGGAAGGGACTTTCCCACGAGAGGTCCTGTCTGCCCAAGAGGAGCATCGGGTGGGGCACACATGATATCTAGACAAGCAGGGTGCCCCGAAGGACGGCCGTGCCCGCTCTCTGACAGCAGAAGTACATAGCACATGTGGGGGACACGCAAGCAATGTGGGGTGGGGGTTTTATAAATGAAGTAAGGCATTTTTGAGACCTCTAGGTGACTCTGGAAGTGCCAGCCCTACAACTAGTGGCGGAGCGGTTCTGCTTATGGCTCTGCTTGTTGATCTCAACCGCTTTGCTTCCAACACCTGAGGGACAGATGGGTTCCGTCCTGCAGGAGGAGCGCCTCCCCCTGGTGGGGGTGAGTGAGGAGGGACGGGCCAGCTCCCTTCCTGCAGGAGGAGCGCCTCCCCCTGGTGGGGGTGAGTGGGGAGGGACGGGCCAGCTCCCTTCCTGCAGGAGGAGCGCCTCCCCCTGGTGGGGGTGAGTGGGGAGGGACGGGCCAGCTCCCTTCCTGCAGGAGGAGCACCTCCCCCTGGTGGGGGTGAGTGAGGAGGGATAGGCCAGCTCCCTTCCTGCAAGAGGAGCACCTTCCCCTTGGTAGAGGTGCATGAGGAGGGACGGGCCAGCTCCCTTCCTGCAGGAGGAGCGCCTCCCCCTGGTGGGGGTGAGTGAGGAGGGACAGGGAGGCTCCGTCTGCAGGGTGGGTGCTGTTAGACACTGAGACCATGTCACTGTCCCGTGGGGCACCGGGCTTGGAGGAATGTGCACAGAGACGCTTTGAGAGAAGGTATGGGTTCACAGTGGCCTTGGGAGGGCTCCACAGACAGAGCCACCTCATGGGCTCACAGGTTCCTGGCATTGGGATCGCAGCTCTCGTCCCGTTGGCCTCGTGTCCCCGGGAAGCTGAGTAAGCGCTCTGTGTCCTCGTTTCCTCCTGTAAAATGGGGGTGCCCAGGGTGACTGAAAAGTAAAGGGTGATGTTGTTGGGAGGGCAGAGCCGGTGATGACCAGGGTGATCCCGGCACTGAAGGTGACAGGCGCGGAATTGGGAGGCTGGGAGGCCGAGAGATGTAACCGTGTCCAGAACTGCAGTGTGGACGGTGGCGTTGCTGATGGCAGGCAGGCAGTCCTCCAGCAGGGCGACCTTGCCCTCAGGGGTGGCAGTCTGGCAAGTGGGGAGGCGTTTTTGGTCTCATACCCTGGAGGAGTTTTGCTGGTGGCATCTGGTGGGCGGAGGCCCGGGTGCTGCTCCCCATGCTGCATCCTGCATCCTGCCCGCACAGCTCTGCACCGCCCCTGCTCCACTTAGCCCCTGGCCTCAGGTGCAGAACCCCCACCCCCACCCCCACCCCATCGCTCACTTAATCTCTCTCTTCCTGCAACACTCAGTGGTGTTTTACTTTCAGGGATCTGCCTTAGAATAAGAATTAAAGAGAACAAAGAGAGAAAGACCTTTTAGGATTTTTTTTTTCTATTACATTGAAACCCCACAGCAGAGGATTCTCCTATTGGAGGAAACGTCCCAGGAGGCTTAAAGCCTTGGCTTGCGTTCATGCTTAATGCTTAGCGGCTTAACAGAGTCATTTTCTATTGTGATTTCTGTAATTTGTTCCTTAAAAGGCTCGTTTGTTCCTTTTCTCTGTTTCAGAAACAAACTTTTTCTGGGGCTTTGAAGAATCATTTATTTTCTCGATTGTTAACGCAGGAGCTGGCTCCCAGTTCCGACATAGCTTTCAAAGCCGAAAGCACCTGCTAAGAAGAGTTTTATTTTTATTCCCCTAGAAAATAACTGTACATTTTGCAGGGAGATAGTTTGAGTACTTTTTTTTTTTTTTTTTTTTTTTTTTTTTGTGGTGCATGTGTCATTTTAGTCTGGAGGGGACATTCTTTGGACCCAGCTAGAAGAGCTCAGAAAAAATTGACAGACTCAGTAGCTAATTAGAAGTATGCAGCTGAAAAGGCTCATGATTAATTCATGATAAACTAATACAACATTCATTATTCTTTCTTAATGTTCTGATGTGGGAGTCTTTCAGTGGGGACTAAAATATCTGTGCCTAAATACCTAATAACAATATCCATTATATCTTACCAACGAAAAGCCATCCTCACGGGGTACTTTAATGTACCTCACAATTTAAAACTCAGGGCTCAAAAATTAAAAAATAAAACAAAATAAAATCCAGGGCTCTTGAATACAACATATTAAACTTTTCCCCTGTCCTTAAGTGGGTTGTTGATCATCAACAAAATACTTTCATCTTATCTCTGATATTTTTCTTTTCCCTACCCCCCTAAATAAAGGCTGAGTGAAATTAAACTTTTCTTATGAAACCCTAAAAAAAAAAAATTTCCTTTTCGTGAGACATCACGTTATTTGACAAGACCTGCCAGCAGTCTCTTGATTTATTCTGCTTTAAATATATACCAGGATAGTCATTCTTTTTAATCCTTTGGTGACAATGAAAAGATTTTTCAAGGGGACTGTACATCCTTAGGAAGGATATTTTGTGGCAGCAAATACTCATGATAATAAGCGGCGTTGAGGGTTAAGATCATTCCAGCCCCCCCCCAAAATTATGGAGACTGCGTGTCTCAGAAAAAGCGAATGAGAGATGGTTCATCATCAGATCCATCGTGAGAGAAGATCAAGCGGTGTGGAGATGGCACCTTTGACGGAGGGATCACCGGGCCTGGGCACCTTCGTGGCACGTGTCTTCTGATAAGCCGCCGCCGGGACGTGAAATCGCCTGTGTGTCGTGTCCCTGCCCGAAGCCTTCCGCCGGAATCTGTGCACAAGGAGATGCGTCAACGAACCCAGAGTGTAGCACCTCGTAAAAGACGATTGACCTGGATTCTTCCAAAATAGTCAGTGTCATGGGACGCCAAGAAAGGTCAGGGGCTGCTCCAGATTTACAAGGATGGAGGAACAGAACAGCGGTACCCGAATGTGGAACGGGTCCTGGATGGGTAAAGGAGACCAGGTGGGACAGCTATTCAGGGACTGTGTCCTCGGTGAGTCGACGGATTGAGTGTTGGTGTGCGAGGTTGCTCTGACGGCGTTGTGCCTCTGGAGGAAACGTCCCTGTTGTGGACGAGCGGCTGTTTAGAGCACCACGGGTATGATCTCTGCACGTCCCTGTGAAGCATCATGATACGCAAACACGTTTCGTGTGCTTTCTGAATCTCGTGAGGCAGCCAAAGTGTACGCATGTAGGTGCACGTGTGTCTACGTGCGTGTGTCCACACAGAGGCGAAGCAAGCCGTTTTTGCAAAGCGTAAGCAGTTAGTAAAGCTAGGTGAGCGAGTATACGTGCGTTCATTTGTACTTTCACTTGTTCTGCGATTTCGGAAGTTGGCGAAAATAAGTTTCCGGGCATATACGTACAGAGTCGTATTTTCCTTCTCCTGTGCGAGGAGGGGCCTTGCCACCGTTGATCGCGTAGCTTCAGGTCCAGTGTTCAGGAGGCACGCGCGCTGGGAGCCCTCGGGGGTCGGAAGCACGGGTGCCTGTGTTGGCCACGGCGCTCAGCATCTCCTGGGCCCGACTGCGAGCGATGGCTCATCACATCACGTGGTTGTGGGCTATATGCGGCAAAATGTCATCCCTGGGACTCTGAACGTGGTGAGTCCCCGTTTCTTTGCTGGGTGATGTTTAGGGAACAACTGCAGATGCCGTCATCTCGCTTTTCTGTGTGGCTTCTCTCCGTGGTATGGAGTGCTCGGTGGGCTCTTGTCGGCGGCTCCACGCACAAGGTGTCATTGGCAAATTTGGGTGCCACCCTGAGTCCTGCTCCCTCGTCCCTGACACAGGGTGCACCAGAGAGCTTGATCACGAGCTCCTAGTACCCGGGGGGTAGACTCAGGATGCGTGCAAACAAGCTGTGTTGTCGACCTCCCATCCTGCACCGGTGTGTGCGTGGTTGGCCAAAGCCGGCTCAGCTCACCTGCTGCGGGCCTGTGGGTGTTCGCATCAGGGCAGGAGCGTGAAAGCCCTGCTTGCCTCGCTTCGCAACTCAGAGCAATCATTTCATTGTATGTTTTTCTTATAACCGCACGTCACAGCCGCCAAGGAATGAAGCATTCTGTTTTAAGAAGGCGTCTACAGATACGCTCGAGCCAGACACTCAGCTTGTGGCCTTGACGTCCGTCCTCCTGAAACCATGCGGGATGCTGGAGCCCATCGACTGTGCTCGGCTCGCCGTTCCTGTCGGAAGCGTAAGGGCTGCCCATGTGCCACTGGGAGCCTCGTCAGGGCTGGGGTCATGGTCCGCGTTGATCCCACCCGCTTCTAGCCACATTGTAGTGCACGTGCTTTGGTTGTGTGGCTGGCAATATGGAAGAGGAATGACACTGCCTACGTCTCCACCGCATGTCGGCTGTTCTGTTGATCAGGATTGTTTTCTTCCCTTAAAAAGCTCATATTAGAAAAAAATTAAAAAAATAATAAAGTTTATATTAGGCTCTTCAGTATCGGAGTGGGCTCTGTAGAAAGATAGTTAACTGCCCCGGAGTTCCGAGTATGACGTGGGAGATTGTTTGAAGTCAGGAAATAATCCACACCGCGACTTCAGTTCAGTCGTCATCTCTCCGTATGAGATGTTGGAAGACACCAATGAAATGCCTGCGATGAGAGTGATTTTATCACGTGGAGGCACAGCCTTCTAATGTTAAGACAATTATGGGTTGATGAAGAGTGATGAGTGAGCGTGGTAGTAGTTCAGCCTGTAGGCTGCGCTGCTGTAGATCTCTGTGTTCAATCTGTGCTGTTCGCCTTGGCTGCTTAGTGTTTCTATTTTTACTGAGGTCAACTCGAATCTGACGACAGGATGGAAATCTACCATCGAGTATCATGTTTCCCTAATACCGTCCTTCGGTGACGTACGACGTGCATCCTTCCTTTCAATCCTACGCCTTTACA